TGCTTTCCTAGTGCCAAATGTTGATGTCTAAACATCTGAGAGAAGTAGGGGGGGGGGACTGCTATGACATAATAATAAACGTAATGTACACCCTAAGGGATGTTAAATATTAATATAGCTCTAAAGAATGATCAGCCATTAGTACTACATGAGAATAAATAATAATACTAACTTGATTTCATAAAAATATTTTAAAAAATGTGAAACACTGATCCCATGCACTTCATTAACACTTTGCCACCACAAGGTTCAAATAGTAAAAACTCTTGCCATCAAGGGAAAAGGCATTTTGGGGGAAATCCAAACAAACTGAGTGGTAAACATCAACGATTGGCAAGGCGTGACGGCAGAGTGTTAAACAATCAACTGTTTAGAAGCACACCATTTTAAACCCACCGAGGGTGCAAAAACAGAAATTCATGTACAGAAAAGTGGGAAGACATGGAATAACATCAAGAGGCTAGCCCACGATAGAGAGAGGTGGAACATTTTTGTCTGTGGCCTTTACCCTGGTGCAGGGTGAGAAAGGCAATGATGATGATGATGAGGAGGGAGCAAAAAGAATTGGGTTGCTATTGGTACAGAGACTTTTCTATATTTCTAATGAGTATGCGAAATGGAATGTCTCCGCAAAACCCTTAACATCACAAGTCGAGACAGGCAGAGAAATGAAAAGTAAGAGCAGCTATCGGCATTGAGTCCTGCCTGCATTACAAAGAAAGACAGAGAATAAAATGGATTGGCCACCTGTCACGTATGTCACCTGGCCAGCCAGCCTCGAGGGCCAACAACACCAAGCACTCAGGCTATAAAGGAAGAGGAAGGCCACGCAAAAGGTGGATCGAGGGTGTCAAGGAAACCCTGAGCAAACATAATATCACAACTGAAAGGCTGCGGAGCTGGCCCAAAATAGAAAACTGCATCTCTCCTCAACACTTAACGGCAACAGAGGATGAAAAAGTTTTTTTTTAAAAGGTAAAAGAGAAAAAAAAATCTGTTGAGGGTACCTGTGAGTAGATCTGCCACTGTGTTGAGCAAATAGTTGAGGAACTCGTGGGCATCCTGCTGCAAGTAGTTGTCAAAGAGCTCTGTGAAAAAAAAAAAAATGACAGCAAAAGTGAAGTAAATATTTATTTCTTTTACAACTGACATTTTTTTTTCGAGGAAAAGAGAAGTTGTCTCTTTAACGATGAGCAAACTGTTTGTTTGTTTGTTTGAGTAATGAGATGCACATCGACACAATAATGGTCATTTAGTGTTGGGAAAAATTAAGACAGACAAAGAGAAACAAAGGGGAAAGTAAAGAAGTAGGACCTACCAGTGGCGCCCTCCAACCACCCACAAATGAGCAAGCTAAGAAAACAGTGAAAAAAAAAAAATTCTTTTATCAGCCT